TCGTCTATGGCAAGAAGTTGCAGGACGATCAGGACGAGAAGGATCTCCGTGAGGCTTTCCGAGTCCTAGACAAGAACCGAAGAGGTGAAATTGATGTCGAAGATCTCAGATGGATTCTGAAGAGTCTTGGCGATGACCTGACTGAGGAGGAGATCGACGAGATGATTCGCGATACGGACACCGATGGATCCGGCTTCGTAGATTTCGATGGTGAGTTATCTGCCGCCACCAAACCTTAAATTTATCGATTGCTGTCCTTTAACTCTTCGTTTTTATAGACCTTCTTTCTAATATACACAGAAAAGCTTTTCAGGCAGCGGATAATAAGAAGTGGGCCTCAATCTGGGCGATGAAAAATATAAATCCAGATGATATTCCGGATTCCCCCACAGGCAAAGGAAACGGGCCGGGACCCTGAACGGGCAGATTTAAAGGATGCAGTTTTTTCTAATGAGCCCTTATTAATAGTATGTGTCTATCGATGTCACGTTAACCATTTTAATAGCCCATTTCCAAATCCTTTACCTTAGAGCGTGCAGATACGTGGTTCGGCTTCCGAAAAACATACTATTCCAATAATTCATTTGACCAAGTTTTGAAAACTTGGCGGCCTCGGTGGGTTTCGAGTAAGGAAAATCAGGCTATTGATAAGTGTATGAGAGAAACGAATACCAAAAAGGAGGCCACCATTAGAAAGTGCAGATTTTTGCTTTTGGAGACATTTCCTGGCCTTTATTTTAAATTATTGTTTTGGTTTTTCCTTTCAGAATTCAAGAAGCTAATGACTTCGGAGTAAACGGTCGCAGATTTATTCACATTGGCACACAAAGATACATTTATTCCCCTCTCCTCCTCCTTCTCCTTCTCCTCATCCTTTATGCCAACGGGTCCATGAGAGTCCAGTTTCTTTTATCATCTGTGAAGTGTGTTGAACAAGCACGATACCATGCTCGGCTTGTAAAGGCTCCAACGCTCTTTCGACCATTCGCCCCTGACCTGCTAACTTGTCGATGTGCCTGCCTTCATCGCGCCTCTCTCCTTCCATTATGTATTTTCTTCCTAGCCTTTATATTAATTTAGTGCTCTGGACTCCTTTAATCATACTTGTAAAATATAAGTGCGCAAAATCCACGACCCTTTAGAATAACTATTACTAGCAAATAATCAGTAGCTGTAAATAATGTTTTTGATCATAACCGCTTAGGCACCGACACGCGATCGTTGGACAAAATTGAATATGGTGTTCCAGCCCATAATTTCTAACCAATCAGCAAAAGGCGTATTTAAACAACATTGCTAGGATATTTTACTAATCGTGTCATGCATGGTGATGAATTATAAACTAGTACCTGAAAGGCAACCTGTTTAAAAGGGATCGACTAATTTCATTTTCTACCAAGAAATCTAGGTTACCTAAAATTAAATGTCTTGCAGATACTTTTTTTCCATTGTATGATGCAAGATACGACTAACCTTTTGCAGTCCACGAAACCGTGCCAAGCAGGTTTGTTTTATTGATAAAAGCGTGGCATGCGGGCCTATGAAAAGGTTACTTGAAATGCTGCGAATTTTGGAGAGCAATTTGTTGATTGGCCGGTGCTTTATAATTCTGAAAAATGTGCATCGACGGCATATTTGCCGGACGTGCTCTTTTTGTCCTACATACACTTTGTAGGATTATATACAACAACAAAATTAACAGATTTCAACTTTTATTTAGCTAGGCGATCCTTAGCAATTCATGCATGTGTGGAGTTAATTAATTATACTACGCAACATTTCAAATGTAACAGCAAAGGAGTCTGGGCCCCTTTATTGTAAGCTGTGTAATTTATTTCATGTAAATGCCTCCATCATTCGTGTACACTGGTAAAAACGAGCATACTGATTCGTTATCCAGAGATGGTGTCAATCATGGTCGACTGAGGACGCGCATGAATACATTAGCTATGCATTTCAATGCTGTTCCAACCGTTCATCTATCTTGCAGTTTGGCTCAAAGGGTGGGGTCACAGTCAAACATGGAGGCTTTAGTGACACTGAGACGCTCATCGCTCGTGTTACGGAACACACTTGTTCCGTTATGTCTTGGGACTCAAGTTCCAGCCCCGCTAACAATTGTACAACGGCTGCCGATATAAGCAGAAAAGCCTTACCGGGCTGCCTTGTTAGCCAACACACGCTAAACACAAAGTAGTTGCCCAAAGAAGCTAGTAGTATAGGCAACGAGAATCATCTACAAAGGCCGCGATGACTGGAATGATTATTTTTGGTTCATTGGCCCTTATCAGCCAGTCACACCCAACTAGTGGTGTTGTAGCACCCGAGGCTCTAACTCGTGACCTGTCGATCAGATGTCGAGCACTCTGCCTGTAATACCAGCTGCTATGCGGCTGCTAACGGGCTCTAAGGGCGAAGTGAAAGAGGAACAGTTATGCGCGTACTGCTGTTGGTCAAAGTATAGGATATGAAGCAGTTCATCGTGAGATGTAAGATGTGTGTTTGACCGTCGGTTTAGATGAAGTCCATCATGTGCACCATCAGGTTAGCACAGAGAGTGACGGCCTCAAGGGGTATTTTAAAGTGATAGAGGACGTAGTTAGCGTCAACCGCACTCTTCACCTTCGCCCGGAGTCTCGAAGACTTAACGGGTTCCAGCGTGGGCCGCTTTCGCCAGTGCAAGCCAAAACACCGCCTAACTTCATCTTAAGTGGCAGCAGACTTTGCGCGGGTATTACTGTA